ATTCTTCCTATCTACAACCATGGAATATCTTTCCATTTGTTTGTGTTGTCTCTGATTTCTTTCAGCAGTTTTTTTTTTTTTTTTTTTTAATTCTCTTTGTAGAGATCTTTCAGCTTCCTTGTTGGCTGTATTTCTTGGTGTTTTATTCTTTTTGTGGCTATTACGAGTGAGATTGCATTCTTGATTTGGCTCTCAGCTTGGACTTTACTGGTGTATAGATATGCTACTGATTCATGTACATTAATTTTGTATCCTGAAACTTTGCTCAAGTTGTTTATCAGATCTGGGAGCTTTTGGGCAGAGACCATGGGATTTCCAGGTATAGAGTTCTACCATCTGCAAAGAGAGAGAGTTTGATTTCCTCTCTTCCTATTTGGATACCTTTTATTTCTCTCTCTTGCCTGATTTCTCTGGCTGTCTTTCTGACCTTTAAATGATGGAATTCTCTAAGATTCTATGTTCAATCCTCTTCATGTCTTACCGTAAACATTCCCTCTGGCATTCACATTCAAAGCTTCAATAATCTCTCTAGCTCAGACCTATTTTTGAGTCTGGAAAGAAGAGTCTTGCCTATCAGACAACTCCACTTGGATATCTCAAATGGATCTCAAGCTGAAACTGTTTCAGAATTACCACCTACTCCCCAAACTCACTGCTTTTTCCATTTTTCTTATTACAATGAGTGATACCACCTTCCATCTACCCCATTGCGCAAGTAAAAATCCATCCTGAGAGTTATTTATAGATTTCTCTTTCCTTTCTACTCACATCTAATCAATCAATAGCTACTGTTGATTCTATTTCCTAAATATACCTTATGTCTTTCTATTCTATTCTAGCCCTACTATCTCTGTACATTAGAATGGTTCAGATTTTCAGCATCCCTTGCCTGGATTACTGCAGTAGCTTAGTGACTATTTTTTCGGCTTCTAAGATGTTCTCTCCCAGTTTATTTTGTATACTTTCTAATCAAAGCTGATCATGTTACATAAAATTCCTCAATGATGCTCTATGGTCTATGGAATAAAAACTACATTCTTAAGCATAAAATGAATTTCTGTGATTTGTCTATAGATTCCTGACGGTACCTCATCTTCTCTAACTACTCTCATATTTTATTTTCCACCAGTAATAAACTACTAGCGGTTCCTTACGTAGGCCAAATTGTACCACACCTCCATGTCTTGGCCTGCGATATTCTCACTGTTGGAGCAGCAGTTCTCTCCACTTCTCTTTGTTCTTGTTCATTCTTCAAGTTTCATCTCAAAAGCTACCTTCTCTATGAAGTCTTCCCATGCTTCATCAGAGAACCCTAATTCCCCCCTTCTATCCCCCCTCATATATTGCACATGCCTACAATATAGAGATTAGCTAATTGTTCTTAAATTATTTAAATGAATGCTTGTTTCATGAAACTGTGGGATCCTTGAGGACAGGAACTCTACTGGCCCAGTGCCAGACATACAGCGTGTAGACAAATAAGCAAGCATTCAGTATATGTTTGTTAAATGTTGACTGTACTACAATATTGATCCTCCTGTTAGTGCAAATGGTACCATAGCTATGCAGAATTACAAAACAAAACAAAAACTTGAAGAACATTAGCTGATGATTGTATGCAAATCCTTCATACCAGAAAATAGCATGTTTGTCTATCATCATGAGACCACCACCTAAAACTACGTAGGAAAACAACACAAGTCATTAATCTCCCATCTTTTGTAAGCAAGCTCTACGTATTAAATTATCTTTCCAGGGACGGATTTTTTTTTCTTTACCGTAAGTGATTAGGCCTATATTTTGAAAACATTGGTCAAGACTTTTACACTATTTATCTTACAAGAACTTTAGGCATTAATCTTCTCAGAGGTATCCCCTACGCCAGGGCATTTGATAACTACAAATAGCTATTTTAAAACTTCAAATCGAAACATTTTTATGGTAGCAGGCCCCCTAACGAAATATGCAATGAATTTCCTTGATTTATTTGAGGGCTCTATGTGGCTTAGGCTAACCCCAAAACATAACGCATGACCCCAAAACATTATAAGCATGAGTTACTGCATCTTATTGACTTTAATGTCATTGTCTCTTGTTTGTGAGCCGTCCTTCTTGATAACGCTAACGGTTAATGGATAAAGTTATTTGGGAAAGAGATTTCATGCTACTCTGAGAAAATGTCAGAGTTGAAAAATCAGCTAGAAGTAAAGACAATAATACCCTAAGTCTAAAAATCTGGTCATTCTATCACACTGTTACTGCCTGCACTTACTGGTTCTTTGAGACTGAAATGGGAGTGAGAAAACTAAGCTGCCTTCTTAGCTCTCACGGGTGGTGTGAGGATTAGGGAGATAAGAGTTAGACTGTAGAGCTCACCAGTAAACAGATTGGAGTTTCTCTCCTTTAATAGCTAACACAAAATGTTTTGGTAAAACCAGTGAATTTGTTACCAGGCGGCTCAAACTTTGTCCTCTGACACATCTTGGAGGCCACAGAGGAGTAGAGGTAGTTGTCCCCAAAGCAGACCTAAATCATGGTCATGAGTTTTGCACTTGTTTTTATGATACTGATGAAGAAAAAAATAACTTTTTTTCTTATACTAAATGAATCCGCCTTTTGGGACCCATTGGAAGAGGAAGAGTGAAAAACATGAGAGAGAAGAGAGAGAAGAAAAAAAGAGTAAAGGATATTTGATGGAGGGAAGGAAGAATGAGAGGGGGTAGAAGAAAAAAATAGAGGAAAAGGGCAGAGCAAGAAAGAAGAAAAGGTGTGTATGTGTGGGTGTGTGTGGGTGGGTGGGTGCGCGCGCGCACCCCCCCCCCCCCACAGGGTCAGTCTGAAAGACGAATGAAGGAAGAGAAAAAACAGAAAGATAATAGGAAATATCGAGTAGATTCTCTAGCAGCTCTCACCTGCTCAAAATTAGTGGAAACAAATGACAGCCTTCTCCCTAAAGTCCCCTCAAGTTATTTTCCCTTGAACATGAGATAAAATGTCAACATTCTACTAGGAAATTTAATACTTAAGACTGTATATATTGTCACTTGCCTTCCACTTATTCATAAGGATTTCACCATTTTAGAACAACAATAATTTTATTTAAAAGTGCTGACTCTGTTAGACCATAACGTGTTTCCTCTGAGCAGAACAAATACCAAAGGAAAGCTCGTTTTTATTTTCAGAGTATGATGCCATTTTCAGAAGAGGTGGAAAAAGTCCATGCTGTTCTTTTTTCTGACTAATATGAATGAGTGATCCTACCCAGCTGAATAGGTGGGCTTCACAGACTGAGGGTGACGCCTGCATATATTTCCTTCTTCCCTCTTCCCAGCAGCCCCTGGTTTTCTTTTGGGAATCAACAAAATTTTGTGGAAGCTGACCTCACTGCATGCCATGTAGGGGTAGAACAGACCACACAGGCCAAGCCAATCATCACATCCTGTCCCCTTGACTAGAGCAATAGAATCAAGGGTAGATGCCTCAAGTGAGCAGACCAATGATTGTAAAGGCTTTTCTGGGAATGCTGAAACAAAGTAGCTCTTTCTGCCACACAAAAAAAAACAAAGTATATGAATTTAGGAGCTGTGAGCAGCCATCTTGGGAGTAGGAGTAAAGCCAGCTTTAGGATGAAGCTGACAGAGAAGAGATCAAAGAACTCAGGTTTTGGGGATATCTTTCAGACACTGGATAAAGCCTCATCTAAGGTACCTTTATCTCTGGGTTTTTCAGTTATGTGAGCTGATACATTTTCTTTACTGTATTGTTTACTTTCAATCTGGGTGTAACCTAAATGTTTTCCTTCCAGTAAAGGGTTTGTGCTGCCAGGAAGAGCCATTAAGGTGCTCTGTGTTGTCTGAGGGCCCTAACTAACGCCTGTAATCCCAGCACTTTGAGAGGCCAAGGGAGGTGGATCATTTGAGGTCAGGAGTTCGAGACCAGCCTGACCAATGTGGTGAAACCCTGTCTCTACTAAAAATACAAAAATTGACCAGGTGTGGTGGCGGGCACCTGTAATCCCAGCTTCTTAGGAGGCTGAGGCATGAGAATTGCTTGAACCTGGGAGGTGGATGTCGCAGTGAGCCAAGATCATGCCAGTGCACTCCAGCCTTGTGAACTGCTAAGAAAGGAACAGAGCGCTGTGAGACGAGGGATTTATAGAATCAGCTATTCTCCGTGACCCAGCTCGGATGCTCTCTCTACAAAGTGAGATTCTGTCTTTAAAAAAAAAAAAAAAAGATGCTTTGTGTTGTAATGATGATCTTTTTTTCCTGAGATGGGTTCTCACTATGTTGTCGAGGCTGATCTTGAACTGCTGGACTCAAGCTATGCTCCGTCAATGAAAACCTCCAGAGTAACCAGGACTACTGGCACACACCACCACACCTTGTCTAATATTTTAATCTTTTCATAAAAACAAGGCCTTGCTATGTTGCCCAGGCTGGTCTCAAACTTCTGGACTCACGTAATCTTCCTGCTTTAGCCTCGTGAATACCTCTGGAACCACACGTGTGAGCCACTGCACCTAGCTGACCATTCTTTCTGACAAGATCATGAGACAAGCAGCAGCAGGATCTTATGTTGGTTGGGAAGGTACTTTCAAATGTAGCAGAAAATAATATCTCCAGATGTTGGTCTAGGGCTTTTAGTCCAGGTTCTTCCAAGAATCCCTCTTGTCATGAAAAGGATGTTAGACCCTTTTCATGATTAAAAGTCTGACTATTTTAACTTGCTCCTGATTTATTCATCATCTATATTATATGAAAGAAATTAAGGAATAAAAATTCACTAACTAAAGAAATAGCCTAATATGAACATGAGAAAGGTTTATTCCAGCCAGAGTAAGTTTTTCATGGTCAAAAGTCAAAGGAGAGTGTCAAATTTCTTTCTATTTCACAAAATACTCCTGGAGTTTTAGCTTGTGCCAGGAGCCCTGCTGGATCCTATAGGTACAACAGAGGCAGGTAAGACATGGTGCAAACTTCAAGAAGTGTCTAGGCCAGATGCTAAATCAGGCATCCCCAAACTACGGCCCGCGGGCCACATGTGGCCCCCTGAGGCCATTTATCCGGCCCCCCGCCGCACTTCAGGAAGGGGCACCTCTTTCATTGGTGGTCAGTGAGAGGAGCAGAGTATGTGGCGGCCCTCCAACGGTCTGAGGGACAGTGAACTGGCCCCCTGTGTAAAAAGTTTGGGGACGCCTGTGCTAAAGGTTAGACAGGGGCTTCAATTAGATTAGCAAGAGTAGCTAATATTAGCTGCTGTTATGATGGCATAAAACAAACATCACCATAAAAGTATAATATGGTTTGAAAAAAAAATGGGAAAGACCACATGATTCGGAGAGAATGGGAAAGGACAAAGGCAGGATTCATGGAGCTGCTGGCATCTGAGCTGGGTCACGGAGAATAGCTGATTCAATAAATCCCTCATCTCACAGCACTCTGTTCCTTTCTTAGCAGTTCTTCACAATTAGTTCTTACATATTTATTGGCCTGTTTATTTATTTGATGGTCTAGGCTTTAGATTCCATGAGCTGTATCCTATGGTCCCCTCTGATTTGTTCCCCATTATATTCCCAGCACAAAGCTCAGTATGTGATACTTAGTATGTAGTCGATAAAAATCTGTCGAATCAACAAATGAATGGTCAGATGAGTAATGGATTGCAGTAGATCCCATTACAAGATGCCTGTTAGTTAACAACACTGCAGTAAGCACATAGCTCATCAAATGTAATACATTCAGGAATGATACCAAATACATTTATGATCAATTTTATACAGGAAGAAATGGAGCCTTATAAAAGATAAATAACTTGTCCAATGTCATATAACAAACACATGGCTGTAGCCATACCAGGTAGGTCGAACTCCAAAGTTTGTGTAGTGAGTCACTGCACAATATTGCCTCCTATTTATTTGGTGCTTATGCGTACTCATCATTTGACACACATTGTCTCATTTCATTCACAACCCTGTGAATGAGGTGATCATAACTCATTTAATGGATAGAAAATAGATTTAGAGATGTTTGTTCATTCACTCAACAAATATTTAGATAACCTATCAAATGCTAGGCATTATGCTACCGTCAGACATAAAATACTGAGACAAAATAGACATCATCCCTGCCCATGTGGAGTTTGTGATCTAATGGGTGAGCAGATGGTAATCAAATGTGCATCAACAGTCCGTGGGAAGTGCTGTGAGGGAACGTTAGAGGGTATCATACAGGGTGTAGTAATGAGGTCAACCGGCAGTGACCAAGCATCGCTTCCAACCAGGCCTATTTGACTCCAAAGCCTTCAGTTATTTTTAATTAAATGAAATTTTTTTTAGAGGTTGGGGCTTGCTCTGTCACTCAGGCTGGAGTGGAGGCTCGAATTCCTGGGCTCAAATGATCCTCCCACCTCAGCCTCCCAAGTAGCTGGGACTACAGGTGCACACCACCACGCCCAGCTCAAAGCCCACCTTAAAGCAAAACAAAACAAAAACATATATATTAAAAAAAAAAAAAAAACAACCCAGGGTGGATAGGGTTTGCACAGGCAAAGAGGGAGGACAAGCATGGCCTCCAAATTTCCACCGTCTGGTGTGACTGGAGAGGTAGGGAGATGTGTGTGGAAGAGAACTCTGAGTAGCGAAGGCTGGAAAAACGGGAATAGTGAATGGCATGTTAGGGACTCCCTAATTCAGGAGACAAACGGGTTTTGAGTAATTCTCAATCAGAGCTGCATTTTAGGAAGAGTAGTCTAAAAAGCAGAAGCTACTAATATTCAAAGATAAAGAGAGAGAGAGAGACATATTAACTAGCTGAGTGTGGCACTTGGAACACAAAGTTTGAATTGATTTTACGGCTTTTATGTCAGTGTGTTAGTTAGGATAAAGGTTTAGCTTTAGACGGAAGCTTATTTCTCTCTCTCGTGAAAGTTTGAGCTGGGATGGCAGCTCTGTTCCAGGACACTGTTAAAGGCTCTTTTTATTGTGATGTGAGAGGAAGAGGAGGAAAAGATGACTTGCCTTTTAAGGATACAGCCAGTTGGTTACCACAGTTTCACTCACTCCACCTTGGCCAGAGCTTAGTCTTATGACTACAGTCAGCAGTTAAGGAGGCTTGGAAGTGTCGTCTATGTTTTGGTTGGCTGAGTGCCCTAGGTCAAAAGTCTGTGACTATAAAAAAAGGGGGTGTTGATTATGAGGGGCTGGCTGGCAGTCTCTGCCACACTCAGTGCACTCCTCTTCCGAGAATGAGCAAATTTGGTGGTTCATTTACTTTTATTAGAAAAAAAATTCCAAATTTTAAAATAATGTTGATGGTTATTATTAAGTCAAAAATTTTTTTAAAATGCGTTTTAGCCAGGCGCAGTGGCACATACCTGTAATCCCAGCTATCCTGGAGGCTGAAGAGGATCACTCGAACCCGGGAGTTTGAGTCTAGCCTGGGCAATGTAGTGAGACCCCATTTCTGTAAAAAAGAAAAAAGTTTATACATACTACAGAGAGCTAAACAACATTTGGCAGCTTTTGGTTCTATTAATTAACAAAAAAGCCAAATTCATCCTAATTTCATATATAATTATCAGGAAAAACAATACTTGAAAATAAATTACCTGCAAAATAAGCAACTGAGTTATACATGATCCAGTTTTATGCCCCAAGACTGCGGAAGATGCTTTTGGACACTTTGATATTAACATTGATATTATTGATATTAATAGTTTATATTAGTATTGCATATATTTTCATTTTCCCTTAATTTCCCGGGAAAAAGTGGCAACCCATTCGCAACTTGAAGATTTCTCATTGCTTTTACCAAACTTAGAGGACCAGCAGCCAAGAGAGAAGTGCCTCGAATTGTGTATGGGCTGTTACCTTTTCGGTAGGTCCTATAGTGAGACTTGCCTTCTCTGTGAGCTAAAGACAGAAAGGAGACTCACGGGAGGGTCAGGAATGGACTGACGGTCTTCCTGTGTCATGGTTGATGGGAACCCACAGTACCCACACCACAGATGAAAGCATTTTGGCTGTCTTGGGCAGTCCTTAATTTTAGTTCATTTTCCTGTACCTATTTATTTGATAGCTCATTAATTGCCTCGGAGCAGAGAAAATGTTTCCTTTAAGAAGGTTAAACAAAGAGTTTATTGACATAAGTGAATTGGTTGAAGAAAACATTATTAAGTAAAAGGCACTTATTTAAACACCAAATTAATCATTTAAAGGCAAATTAGAGGTCATATCTCCCCCTAAATAAATAATGTTAACCAGTAATGAGATAACCATTTTAGATTATAAGCATACTTATAGGTTTGGGCTGCTGGCTGCAGTGTGCCTTAGCTTTCCAACTTTATTCAGGGTCTGTAATTACACTAATGTTTGGAAATTGCAGCATTTTAAACTACAGTATATTTTCTCTACAATATGTGATTTTTCATTATATGATTTTTTTAAAAAAATTGAAAGTGTCCCTTTTATCCCAGCAGAAGAGAAGACTTAGTTCTGAGAGAAGATTTTCTAGCAGTGGAAATGGATTCACCTATGGTGCTGTTTCAGGTTACTGAACTTATCAAAGAGGCTGGCGTACAGGTGCCCTTGGCCTCGCTTTCGTAGCTCTGGCTGGGCCACAGGTAACTTCCCAGTGTTGTAGGTGGGACTGTGTGCAGGGGCCACACCCAGACCTCTTTCAGGATGCTTCTGTGTAAGCTTTGGAGACTGAAGAGAAACATACAACAATTTTTGTTGTGCAAGTATTGGTGTCCCTGAAGTTGTCTCGTGTTTCAGCTTCGGATTTTTCCCTTCTGCTTGGAGGGTGTCATAGCTGCCCACTGACATCCAGCCACACACCTTTTCCATGAAGGCACATGGGCAGTGCCCAAAACCCTGCTCCACCGCTGGGTTCGCATTAGCCGGCCTCCCAACCATGATGACTGTTAAGTGTTGACAGCTACCAGAGATTCATGCTCCAGGCTCTTCCACAGCAAAACGACACTGATGCCAGCAGCTTTGTTCCACGCCACACTGCAGTTTTGTTTTTAGCCGGACAGAAGTCAGGAAGTTTAAGGTTAGTTAATCAAATCTGATATTAGCCCACCCTGACTGATCTGATCATCAGATGGTCCAGCAGATTCTCCTTTTTCTCAAAATATTTTATTGTGCACTTGTGAAGAAGACGGAAAAAAAGAATCCCAATGGAGGATAATTTGAATTGATTTTTTTTTGTTGTTGAGTGTCAGTTCTCATCTGACTTTTTAAACTTTGTTGAAATGAATGATTCTTGCTGTCATAATAATCGTCTTGATTTTGCATGTTTTATCAATGAATACTGTTCATCTCAACTCACCACTGCCCTTATTTGGGCAACTTATGAGTTTTGAAGGCATGGGTCTAAATTCAGACTTTTCAGCCTTGAGATAACTGGAGATGTCATCCAACAAGCTAACCTTCAATGTTCCTGCTGCAGACTAACCAAAATTATGGTGTCCTCCCAACTGCACTCCCTTTCTTTTTCTCAACAGAGATGAGTGACCCTGCTTATGCCAAATTGTACATCAGAAAAGACAGATCTCTATGATGTGGGCAGGCAACGTAATTTAAGATTCTGCAGGCTTATGGTCAGTCCATCATTTTAAGGATAAGAAATGTAAAAAGAAAAGTTGGTTCAAGGCATCCTGGTACTGCTCATTAACTGGGAGACAAAAAGGAATAAAATAGGACTTTTTTGACGATTTCAGGTCCTCTCCCCGACTTGCCCACTCCACACCCCTCCCCCTGGTTAGACGTTTAGAGAGAAAGAAAGGCACTTTGTGTTTAAGGTTAATCAAGTTTCAGTACAATTTTTTTTTTTTTTTTTTTTTTTTTTTTTTTTTTTTTACAAACTAGAATCACACTAATCTTTTTTTCTTGCTCTAATGTGTGGCTGTTGAAATCCTCAGCTGTGATAAATTAAGCTACTTATTAATCTAATTATCGTACATTCATCCTAGAAACTTTCATGTGACTTGAAAAGGCTATTCAACCTTTTCCCTCCCCTCCTAGAAAGGGCTCAACCTTGCACCAATTAAGATCATTCTGAAGCAAGGCTTTAAAAAAGCTTTCTCTAATCACCCAATGGAACATGGACCAGTGGAAACCAAACTCAGAGCTCTGGGAAAAAGTTTAGCATTCCTTTCTGTCTGCCAACTTTTATGGTTTCATTGCACAAGGGAGGAAGAGGAAGACTTCATTTTCCTATTTAGTTGTTCCTTTGCTGACCTCCAAATAAAGTCCATGTAATTACAGAGCAAATAAAGTTGCAGCATGTGTTTTAAAAATCAATTGCCATTCTTGGACTATAGAAATGTAACAATGCACAGATTTGTCGGAAAATACCCAGCACCAACCATACGAACTAAACCCTGTACTGTATCTGTACAATGGAGTAGTTTTGACCTCTAAAGCACATATTTACTATGCAGATTTTTAAAAGGGCTTCTTTTATGACTTAACTATTGATATTAAAATGTCCCCATCCTAATAAAAGTTCAATTTGGGATTAAAAATATGTTGCAAATGGATCATATCTTAAACATCCATTCATTGCCAAATGCCTTACTTCTTTTTTTTTTTTTAATGATGGCATAAATGGAGCTATTTTACATTCAAATTAAACTAGCTATTAATTTGAATGCAAAGCAGCTCAATGTACATGATGCAATTTCAATGACAGGTTTACTCCAAGACAGAAAGCAGGAGATAGTCAACATGGGTAAGTCCAAGCAGTTTGTCCCCTACTCTTGTGCCTGGCAAACTTGCTCACTGTGAATAGTTTTTGAAGTGAAGATTAAAAGAATGGAATTATAAAGTATAATTACATTTTATTGAAACTCTAGAAATCAGAAAAAATTCAGCAGGAAACTTTTAGTGAAACATGATGTGTTGTCATTATCATTAAAAGATAAAAGTTCCATACTGTTTTTATCTGTTTATTTGGAAGAAATCCAGCCTTTACAGTTATGCAGGAAACAAAAAACGGGAATGCAGGAGTAATTATTAAAACTGTGTGATTTGTTATCTCAGCGACTGTCTTTCCAAATGGTAATGCGATATCAGCAGCTGCAGACGGTTGCTGATTTCCTCTATTAGTAAACAAGTGCTTTGGAGACCTGTGTGAGGCACTTTAAGCTCGCTACTCCCCGAAGTGCTGTCAGGCTTAACTACTAATCCATGGTATTTCAGAGCACTGGAAATTCATCTTTATAAAACCTGAACAAAAAAGGGAAAAAAGCCTGGAGGGCATGAGCTCCCTCTGGTGAGACAAATGACATGTTCATTTATTAATGAAACAATAACCCTGGAAAAAGGATCAAAGCACATTCCATCCTCACTTTACAATCCCCAATTTTCTCAGGCCAAACCATTTAATTGAGCCATGACAATGGAATACTTAATTGTTGCCTTAAAGTTTTGAAGAAGCGACTTCTTCAGCATCAATGTGAATTTCAGGATTATTATCCAAATATGGCGTAGCCAGATTAAAGATGGTGGAATTTGATTCATCCTCCACTGGGCGGGGGCACTTCTCGCTGGCAGAAGAGGTGTTTTCTTGAACACGCTTGCAGAGCCCACTTCGGATGCCCCTTGCCTTGTGGCTGCTTCCAAAGGTTGCTTCCTCATGACGGGTTCCTTCCTCACGATGAATTCAGGTTCTTTTTGCCATGTCCCCTGGATGCGGGACCCAAATGAGGAACAGGAAGGAGTCGATCCCAGACGTTTAAGGAGTTTGAGACAACGCAACATGGAGCCCCTTATTAAATCGTGACAGGCCCATAGCAACCGCAATGGTAATGGGAAACTCACCTACATTCCCTCTGGGTTATTCACCAATTGTGTTTGAGAGTGATTCCATCCACTGAAAACACACACTGTAAAATTTTTTTTTACAATTAAGAACTCGGTGGTGGCCACTGTGCAGACCAAACTTCGCTCGTTCGTGCACCTCGCTCCGCTTTTCCTCCGCAACCATGCCTGACAAACCCGATATGGCTGAGGTCGAGAAATTCAGTAAGTCGAAACTGAAGGAAGACAGAAACGCAACAGAAAAATCCACTGCCTTCCAAAGGAACGATTGAACAGGAGAAGCAAGCAGGCGAATCCTAATGAGTCGTGCGCCGCCAATATGCACTGTACATTCCACAAGCATTGCCTTCTTATTTTACTTCTTTTAGCTGTTTAACTTTGTAAGATACAAAGAGGTTGGATCAAGTTTAAATGACTGTGCTGCCCCTTTCACATCAAAGAACTACTGACAACGAAGGCCGCGCCTGCCTCTCCCATCTGTCTAGCTGGCTGGCAGGGAAGGAAGGAGCTTGCACGTTGGTGAAGGAAGAAGTGGGGTGGGACAAATGTGACATCTAGAGTAAAACCAAGCTGGCCCAAGGTGTCCTACAGGCTGTAATGCAGTTTAATCACAGTGTCTTTTTTTTGTTGTTCAAATGATTTTAATTATTGAAATGCACAATTTTTTAAATATGCAAATAAAAAAGTTTAAAAACGAAAAAATTAAAAGGTCTGTGTTTAATTTCAGTATATTAACTCGATTTCGTATCAGCATTCTAGTTGGACGCTTTTTGTTTGTTCTCTAACAGTGACTTTTCTGGGGTTTACTTGACTGCTGTTTGTCAGATTAACCAAACTTTCAGGAAAGTCTTAAGACACCGAGGTTGGGGGGCTTCAGAAAATGCTTGTTGACTTACTGGACAGAGAAGACAGTGAAGATTTTATATGCAATCTCTAAGACTCATCTGTCTTACACGTAAGCATTCTAGGCCAGCTTGACGCTAAGGCCGATTTTCTATCGTGGCATCATTTGGAGTTTATAAATGGAATTTCTTTAACTGTGCATATGCTCATATTCATTCCTTAGGACATCCATTAATCCAGTGAAAACTAGTAGTCAGAAATGAAGGCTGTAAGCAATAAAAATGCTCATAGTTTCTGAGTTCCAGAACATCATCTGTCTTACTAAGTCATACTGTGAAATGGATAATGTACTTTGAGATGGTTTTCACTACCTTTACCTAGGATCTTTCTTTTGATCTGCTTTTGAATACCAGCCTTATAAAAGTCTTTTTCTTCCCTAGCTTATTAGACGTATAGGTAAATACTTTGAATTATGAGTATATTTATATTACATTTTAGTAAAGTTCCTGGGAAAGAAGGAAGAAAGTCTTTATAAATAAATTTCTGTAATAAGACTAACATTTTGAAATACTTCCATTTAGCTTGGCCTCTTTGTAGTAAAGTTTTCTGCAGTATAATTGTTTGGACGGCATACAGGGGAATGGTGGTGATTCAAAGTATGTAGTACATACAGCTTTACCACAACCCTTTGGGAGAACAGAGAACCCTCTACATTGACAATCAACACCGTCTGGCTTAAGAGCCAAAGGGAATTTCAAATGGAAGGTATGCACCTGAAGCAGCATAACAGTTATTGTTTCAATCTTCCCCTTATCTTCCATCCCTAAATACAGAGCATTTATTTTAAAAAATACACACATAGGAAGGATTCACAGGCTTAGTATGTAAGCATTCAAACTGCCATGACATTGATGGCCAAACTAAGTTTCACATAAGCCAGAGCTGAGACAGAGTAACAGATATTTACATCTGCTGACAGATGTATTTCCACTCTCCATATGCACATTCCACTCATATTTATATCATTCATTCCTTCAATCACCTTCCATTAGTCATTTCATGACTGTTGATGGAGGCTCTACTGCATATGCATCATAACATAACAAAATACATAGCTGAAGTTATGTGTATTTTAGTAAGATACCTGGAAACTGAAAATGTATATAGGAGAGGGAAGCCAAGCAGGGTAGGAGATAAATAACATGAAGACGGAAGTATATTTCTTCTTTGACACTGTTTTCATAAGGGGCAAAGACCCTTTGGTGTGTGTCTGCTGAATGTGTGATGGAAGTCTTCATTCAACAGCATCTATCAAGCAACTGCCACATCTCTTACACTGTGTGGAATACTTATAACAAAAAGGAGGCGCTGTCTCTGCCTCTCAGGATCTTCCATTCAATAGTCTGGTTGGGTGCATGTGATATGCATACATAGAACAATTAATGCCAGGTGGATGACTAGACTCCAGATTGAAGGGTAGAGATGACAACTACAAAATGAATTGTAAATTTTATAGATTTCATGATGTGGTCAAAGAGGATCATCACGTTGACGCTTAGTCTTCCTACCTCCCCTTTTGCTGGGAAGCACGTACTCGGGGAAGGAAGGATGACAAGAGGCACACACACAGGTGCATGCATTCACCTTTTGGCCCTTCTCCTCTCCCACCCTTATGGACTTTGTTCCTTGAAGAGAGAAGCTCATTATTAAGAGTTAGTGTAATGTTTGATCATCTTTACTATCTGTCATAGCAGATACATAAACTGATATTCCTGCTATCATGGTGAAAAGCCTTATTCTTTAAAGTTGCAAGATGGAAGATTACTGACATACTTAGTAGGAATTTAAATTAGATAAAATACATATGTATATATGGTTACATGAAAACCTTTAATAAGAACGAAGAGCTGGAAAAAAAACCAAAACAAAACTGGTGTTCCTTGCCTCCTCTGCTGCCTGAGTAACAACAACAAAAAAATGAAAATAATACTAAACCATGTGAGGAGAAGTAAAGATATAATTTTCTCCTATCGTGACTACTTAGAATTAATTTGAGAATACTAGGATTTCTTAAAATTTAATGATAGAATCTAAAATATTTTCTCTTAAATTTCCTGGTAGTCTTGTGTGCTAATAATGGGTAACCCTACACCATTTTTGCCTCAGAGTCTAAGATGGGGCTGTTCGTCTCTTCTACCCTTTACTAACAAATTTGCTATCTGAATGTCCTGCTATGAATTCAAGTTCTATTTTCATTCTACTTCCCCAAATTCTGTTGCTAGCATAGAGGATCTCTAATAACATATTAACCAGTTTTACTTCAGGGCAATTATGTCTTTTCAGTATTCTGAGGTTTATTTAAATTCTCCCAAATGTAACACAGGAATAAAGAATATGTATTTTCACTCTAGGTTCTCCTTGGTCCATTCATTTTATCAAATGCCCGAAGGAGCTTATAGTGAAGAATACTTAGAAAATATCTAAATGATTCTGAGTAAACTGTTTCAAATAAGGCCATGGCTCTTTATTTACATTACACATCAAAAAAAGAAAAAAATAAAGATTCCTCTTGAAAAAAATTATACAAAAGACAATGTCGTGCTTACTATCTATTACTTGTTTACTGAACTTAAGAAAGAAAGGAATGGTAGCTCAGTAATTACTGAAATAATTAGTTGTCAGTATCTAATAAAGTCAAATGATAAACCCTAACCCAAATCATTTATTTTCTCACTCTCCGAGGTTGAGGATTACATTTAATGTTACTAAAAATTATGGAATATGTAAAATAAAAAAGGTCTTAAAATTTAAATATTACATTATTTCACATAAAATACATTTAATAAGAAATATTTTAATTAATAATTCAATACTTTTTTCTACTTAACATTTATCCTTCCCTAATATCTAAGGTATTACATATAATAATTTTTGAAGTTGCTGTTATATTTTTAAAGCAAGTAGTACCTCAGAAACAAATACTTATCTTCTGTTACCTTTGCACTCTCCAGTACATTGGACACATGATTTTATTATAAAAATAAGGTAATTTTGTTGAGTATATATACATGATGACATAATGGTATCAATATTAAGATAACACACAAAATAATGTCTATCTCCTGCTTGAGTAATTTCTGATTGCATTGAATCATGGACTTCTGTTGGTGCTGTGTTTATATCAGGCATGATCGAGAGGTGATGTTACAACTGCTGGGCACAGATATTGACATGTTCTCAGTTTTGGGGAAACAAAATGACTTCTATGATCTATTTGTGGGGAATGCAGGGACAGTTATATCACTTTAATTAGCTGAAATATCAAATGTGTTGACCATTTTGAAATTTACTGCTATATTTCTAAAATGCAGGTTGCTTAACCTAACATGATAAACACAGGATGTTACTGTAATTCATTTATTTGCACATTTATGTCTTAGTGATGAAAAAGTCCTAGAAGATCTTCAAAAAGAGAATACATTTCAGCAGAGAGGTAAACGTAATACATTTTTATCACTGAAAGCAGATGTAGGCACAGAACTGGGTCTTGAAGCTGTCTCCCACAGCCCTCTGCAGCCAGGGATGGTCTCTAGGAGGACCAGCCTCAGGAAGGTGAAGGGTGCCTCAAGAGCACCCCTGCCCAATCCAACAGCAAGGAACAAAATGAGAGCCAATGAACAAAATGAAAAATAACTTTCCCAGACCAGAGAGAAAACACTTGGCATTCCTGAGGAACAGCTGCTTGCTGTTAGAAGTTTATGGTAATAAACTAAACTGGGTGAGCACTTTCTAAGAAGAAATATTTAATTATCCTGCTCACCATTATGAGGAACTTCTGCCACTCTTCAGGTTATTATACAGTAAATAACCATTTTTCTAAAGGACAGAGCTGTTTTAATTATATGACAATGAATGCATAATTATTATGTTTGTTAGGAATGAATCACAAGACAACAGACTTGATATTACTGCTCTGGTTAGTGCATCTTAATTACTTTTTCATTTATTTTGCATATAAAAGCTATTTGCTAATTGTCTTTGCTGTAAATATGCAAAATATAATTAGTCATTCATAATTCTTTATGTGTTATCTAACTGTACATTTGTTTCTAAGGAACATATATTAAAGTGTGAATATTTAATGGGCTTCTTTGTGTGAATTCTTTTTTTTAGACCAAGTTTTAAGTAAATATTAGGCACGTAAAAGTTTTAACTCTATTCTTAGAGGAAACTTGTGCTGTGAAACAAATGGAGACCAAAAAACATGGAGTTATGGAGTGAATGCCAGACTATGTGGAATTTAAACATTTTTTCACATTAAGACACTGATGATGATGGGAAGTATTCTTTACTAAGCCTTTACATTAACCTTTTAGCTACTCACCCAAGCTACTCAGATAAATCTTTAGCATTACGAATTTTAACTTAAGTTTTTACATATTTGTGAGGCTACTTACCAGAAGAAGAGAAGAAATCCATGATTGTGCTGAAACATGCTTTTTTTTTTTTTTTTTTTTTTTTTGAGACAGAGTCTTGCTCTGTCACCCATGCTGGAGTGCAGTGGCATGATCTTGGCTCACTGCAACTTCTGCCTCCCGGGTTCAAGCAATTCTCCTGCCTCAGCCTCCTGAGTAGCTGGGACTACTGGTGGACGTC